ACAGGCTCCTAATGAGCTCAGATATTATCTACAATAATGAATGACGTCGTTCTTCCCTTCCTAACCTAAAATTGACAAAAATCAGTTCACAGAAGCAGCATAAGCTTCCCTTCCTGCTTTTACTCAAACTTTTTTTTACTGTATTTGATCTTCCAAGAAATTGTTCCTTGCTGATCCAGATGGATGTCACATCTATTAAGAGCTGATCCATTGTGAGGATTATCTGATTCTATTCTTAATAGGCAGGAGGGGGAGGGTAAGAACTGAAAATATAGTTTTCACTGTACTAAGAGTGAAACTAGAATGCTAGGCAACAACGCAGGAAAAAAGTCTTATGTTTACAGAAAGCTCGGGGAATTATATTCTGTCTTTTTCTTGGTTTGCTCTAGTCCATGAAATAATGACATTTTATTTTATCATGACAGTATCAGTACACTGCGTGTTGGTGAGATTGGTGAGCAATTGGTGAGATATGGTATGTTAGTTTGCAAGGGAATCTCTAGATTAGATAAGTTAGCTTGCCCAGAATAAGGTGAGCATGCCTGGCTATTGGTTGCACTTGTGGCACACTGCCTAAGTGTGATTGCTTTGTGTCCTTAACATTAGCAAGAAATGTTGCATGCCGCATGGGCGCAATTGAAGATGGTCACCTGGTGTACCCTGGAATACTGCAACCAATTTTGGTCACCATACTACAAAAAAGATGTTGAGACCTTGGAAAAAGTTCAGAGAAGAGCAACTAAAATGATCAAAGGCCTGAAGACTAAAACATATGAAGAACGGCTGCAGGACTTGGGTTTGGCTAGTCTAAAGAAAAGAAGAAATAGGGGTAACATGATAGCAGTATTCCAGTATTTGAGGGGCTGCCACAAAGAAGAGGGCATCAAACTATTCTCCAAAGCACTAGAGGCAGGACAAGAAACATTAGTTGGAAACTGACGAAAGAGAGAAGCAACCTGGAATTAAGGAGAAACATCCTAACAATGAGGACAATTAACCAGTGGAACAGCTTGCCTTCAGAAATCGTGGGCGCTCCATCACTGGAGGTTTTTAAGAAGAGACTAGACAGTCACTTGTCTGAAATGGTATAGGTTCTCCTGCTCGAGCAAGGGGCTGGACTAGAAGATCTCCAAGATCCCTTCCAGCTATATTCTATTCTAACCTGGCTTGGGAACGGAATGTGAAGCACCCAACTTCAAAGTGGTTCTCAAAACATCAAACCGGGATGCTATTAGAAAACTCAGTTACAAAGTTGGAAAGATAAAAAAACATATCCAAGACCCATAAAGATCTCAAATGCCTATACACTAATGCTCAAAGTTTAGGGAACAAACAGGCATTATGGATTCTAGGATACCTGTTTTTATCCTTGGTTATGATATCGTTGCTGAAACTTGGTGGGATGAAACTCATGACTGGAATGTACTGATGGAAGGATACAACCTATTTTTAAAAAAACCAGACCTAACAAAAGAGAAGCTAGAGTTGCATTATATATAAAAGATCACTACATCTCTACAGAAGTACACAAAACCAAGGATAAAAATATCCTAGAATCCATAAGGGTCAATATAAAAGGGGGGGGGAATGACATTGCTATAGGCATATATTACAGGCCACCCAACCAAGAAGAAGAAATAGATGAACTCTTTGCCAATCAATTAACAAATATATGTAGGAAACATACCACAGTAGCAATGGGAGACTTTAACTATCCTGATATCATCTGGGAGACAAACTCTGCAGCAAGTGGGAGATCAAACAGATTCCTAACCAACCTAGCTAACAACTTTGTCATCCAAAAAGTAGAGGAGGGAATTAGAGGGAAAGCTATACTGGACCTAATTCTTACTAATAGAGAAGAAGTGATGGAGTTGAAGTTGCTGGATCCTTGGGCAAGCATGACCACATCATATTGGAATTCAATATAATGCAAACACAAACAATAGACTATAATCCAATCAGTGTCTTAAACTTTAAAAGAGCTGATTTTAACAAACAGAGAGAGAGAGCCTAAGAAAAATTCCATGGATGAAAATCCTAACAATCTTAAAGGGGAAAACAATACCACCGAAAAAGAAAAACAAGAAATCCAAGAAGAAACCAGCATGGTTGCACAAAGATCTCTCTGATAAACTGAAAGACAAAAAAAATAAGTACAAAAAATGGAAAGAGGGATAAATAACGTAAAGCAGATATCAGCAGATAGCCCGAATCTGCAAGATGAAGTTCGGAAAGCAACGGCTCAGAATGAACAAAAACTTGCAACAAAAGTCAAAGATAATTTAAAAAGTTTCTTTCAACATCTAAATAACAAGAAAAAAATCAAGAAAACAGTCGGTCCACTAAAGAGAGAAAGTGGCAAGGAAGTAACAGGCAGTAGAAAGAAAGCAGAGCTGCTTAACTCATTCTTTACATCAGTCTTCACACAAAAAGAAACTATAGCCCAACCTACCAAAAACATAACTGTAAAAGACAGAAATAAAATATTAAAATAAGCAAGAAAATTGTAGGAGAACATCTGACCTTGATGAATATAAATCACTGGGACCTGATGGATTACTTCCCAGAGTTCTGAAGGAGCTGGCACATGATATCTCAGAACCATTGTACCATATCTTTAAAATATCCTGGAGCACAGGGGAACTACCAGAGGACTGGAAAAGAGCTGATGTGGATCCCATCTTCAAAAAAAGGGGGGGAACAGACCCAGGAAACTACAGACCAATCAGTCCAGCATCAATACCTTGGAAGATACCGGAAAAAATAATAAAAAAACATAGTGTATTAATAAAGGGGAATGTTTGTAGCTGAGGGGTCCTTGGTGTTCTCTGAACTTGCTTGTTTTCTTACAGACAATTCATTACCCAAACTAGGTAACATCTTCAGTGCTAGTAAGGAGTGCTGTTTGCTGTCAGTTTATATTTTGGTGGCTTGCCCGTCTGTTGGTTGGGTGGTCTTAGAGATTCTTTGCTTGGGCTGTTTACTGTTGGTTCTTTGGTAGTTTCTTGATTGGGGTGTTGTTTACTTGGTCTGAAGTTAACCTTGGAGTTAATTTATGTTGATCTGGGTGCTGATTGCTGGTGGAGAGGTGCTTAGGTCTTTTTGTTCCCTTTTGGGCAGCTTGATTGTCTCTTTTGCATAGTCTGTAGATGTTGTCAATGTCTATGTGTCTATTGATGGCTAATTTGTCAGAGGGTCAGGCTTCTAGAAATTCCCTGTCATTTTTGGACTTGATCTGGTCTAGGATTGTCACATTTTCCCAATTGAAACTATGTTTAAATCTGTCTATATGTTGTGAAATTAAAGAATTTTCCTCATGTCTTCTGTCTGCTAGTTGATGTTCATGGATGCGTTCTGCAAGTCTTCTGCCTGCTTGTCCTACACAGTGGTTGTTGCAGTTCTTACATTGTAAGTTGTAGATGATTTACATTTACAATTGGATTTTCACCACAGAAATTCTGCGTTCTATTAATTTTTAAAAGCTCTGGTATTATTTTTTTTAATTTTTGATGGACATTTCCCTTTTTTCCATCTATTTTTATTGTGGGAAACATTATCTCAACATTCTCTGTAGTTATTCTGGCATGCTATATCTAATTCCCCTGCCCTTGACAGAAACTGTTTTTGCTTCACTGTGAAAGCTCAGTTACAAGCAATATTCTCCTTTTTTAAAAATATACATGGAGCCAAAACTTAATTGTACTTAGCCAACATAGGCTGATTAGTAAGCTAATAAAGTGTGAGCAGGATGGCATGACAATTAGGTTGATATGTAATTGTTTCAGAGATGATTCAGAGCACTGATCAATGGTTCCTCATTAAATTGGAAACAGGTATCAGTCATATTTTCCCTACATTTCAATCCTGTAATGTAAATAATGCATTGGATGAATAGGTGGAGGGAATCCTTATCAGATATGGAATGGCCCAAAATTGTTGGGATACTTAAGGGAAGGCAAATAATATGTTGGAAAAATGGTAACAAGATCAACTTTAACAAAGATAAGCTTTTTCAACCAGGAAGCCAAAGTCCAGCACAGTGGTATAGAATAGGTGAATTCTGGTTGGGTAATGATCTAGGAACATTACCCAATTTATTACAAACTTAACAACTAGTGTGGCATGGTTGCAAAAAATGAAGTGAAATGAAATATTAGACTACATCAGCAGAAGTCTAATTTCTAATCACATGAAGTAATTATTCCGTTTTATTCTGTTATGGACAGATTCCTCTTCATTGTATTCTTCAGATGCCTGCAAGAATATCATAAGAGAAGATCAAGCCCTTCTTTCCCTAGTTCCAGAGCATTGGATACAAAATAATAGACTTAAATAACAGATTGTAACAGAATGCTGGGAGGGGGAATCTTAATATTAAAAGTAATTTAACAATGGAAATAGTTATCCAGAGAGCGAACAAATATATTCATTGAATATATTCAAATAGAAGCTACACAGCTATCTGTCTAGATCAGGGGTGTTAAACTGCCGGCCCGCGGGTCAGATGCGTCATGCGGAAGCCGCGCCCATCCCATTGCCGGCAATGGCAAAACTCTCCCGATACGTTGCGCAACATCACGTGACGTCGCGAGTTTGACATGTCTGGTCTAAATTATTTTAATTTGGATTCTTACACTGGCCATGGGTTGAGCTTGATAGTGTAAACAAATTCTTCCAATTCAATATTTCTATAATTTTGTGCTATTAGTAAGAAAAAAATAAGAGAAAGGGAGGGGGCCCCACAATAAAATCTTGTGTTGAAATGAATGCCAAAGGGGACATACTGTTATTTTCTGCCCTTGTTTCTACCACGATACAGGGTAGGACTTGCTTCCTTTGGTTTGGTGTATCTTGTAATAAAATGTTTATGATATCTTGCTCTCTTTTTGTCTGTTTCAGGGCCATGTAATGCTGCTACTTCTCTTAGATTTATCAGCCTGGAAAGTTGTTTCTGTTCCTAGTTCTTTTTCCTTTTTGCTCCAGCTCATTCTTCCAAGATGGCCCAGGATGGAGCAGTTATGTGCTTCCATCCTAACCATGCTCTGTCATGCCAACGCTATGTTCAAGCAATGGAGAAGACATCACAGCTTCCCGCTTCCAAGAATGTGATACCTGCTTCTTTTAATCCTTATCATAGTCTCTCACCCAATGCTGGCCGGATTCATTTCCTCCGCAAGGGACTAACTGCTGAACCTTTGCGATCCCAGCTTGGCATATATAACAGTACTGGCTCCCTAACGCAGAAGATAACGAAGATGAGTAACTTTGGAAACGGCAGCTGTCTCATCTCAGGAAGAGTAACAGCTCCGTGTACTCCACTAAGAAGTTCCCCATGTCCCTCAGGCAATCAAGTCCCCCTGGTAGTCCCAGTCACTGGTGGTCAGAGTTCTGTGGTGACCTTTCGCTTTATTGAGAAGGCCAATGTGAAAACTTTAAATGGCTTCCCGCTGATGGAACCCAGGAAAGAGAACGGTTTGAGCAGAAGTTTGGAATCTGAAGAGGATTTTCACATTGAGTCCAATAAGCCAAGGAGCCAAAAGACAAACGTTCAGACACAATATTCCTTACAGAACAAAGTCACGGCATCCCTGAATCCTGTCATTTTGGATAACAGAGTGGGCTTCAAAGCCCAGACAGATAAATCCTCTTTGACCGTGACAGCTGAACAGGATCCAGTGGTTCTCAGTGGTAAGCAGGAGCGTCTTGAGTTTAAGCCAAAACCAGAGATATCTGCTTCAGATCCTCTTCTTGCTGGAAACAGATTTCTTGTAAATGCACAGCCCGCTTTGAGTTGGGGTAATGGAACTCCACTTTCTCTTGGTGCCAGTTGCCCTTCCAGTTCCCTCACTGATGGGATGAGCAGTCTATCTAATGATCTCTTATGCCATCAAAGACACACACAGAGCAAGGAGCCACAGTACCAGGTACTTAGTAAGTCCAAATATTTTCTTGCCAAAAATGTTATCTAAATCTAGATATTGGAAATCTCACATCTAGGGATCCTCCTAAATAAAAAAATCTCTGTTCTTTCTACAGGAAAGCTTGTGGGCCCATTCACGTGAAAGCTCTGTCCATGCCCAGCGTGTTGCCAAGGCCAAATGGGAATTCTTCTATGGCTCAGTAGAATCTCCTAAGACAGGTAACCCACTTGCTGCTACTGTATTATGACAAACATTTCTTAATGATCCATCACCATGAAATGATGTTCTGAGCTGATGTTTGTTATAGATAATGTAAGTATTGTAGAACGCCTTTGTCAGTGATGGCGAACCTTTTAGAGACCGAGTGCCGAAACTGCAACCCAAAACCCACTTATGCATCGTCGGGTGCCGGGTGGGCACCCGAGTAGTAAGTACTACTATTCAACTACAGCTGCAACCAAGAACTGAATGAAGACCCTTTTCAACGAGTTTTTAGTACAGCTAAATACCTTATTTTTACTCATGCATCTGAAGTTTCTGGAGATTTTTGCTACTGAATTTCAGGTTAGTATTTTTTTGCTGACATTCAGCAAAAGAGAGCTTATTCCTTATGGTTAGCATATTATGCAAAACAGTGTTCTTTCTGTTTCGCATTTTCAACATACAAGTACATAGGCCAGTGGTGGCGAACCTATGGCACGGGTGCCAGAGGCGGCACTCAGAGCCCTCTCTGTGGGCACACGCGCTGTCGCCCCAGTCCTAGGCCTTCAGCTGGGTTTTATAAAACCTTTTCACTTCAGGCCTCCGCTACCGTGTACAAAAAAAAAAAAGGTTCAATCAATCAGTCAATTTCAACTTCTCGCGGGAAAAACAAAGATCTTGCAAAGTTGAAATTGATTGATTGAACTTTTTAGTCCCACCCAGTCTGCCGTTACCACTGCAGCCACGCCCACCCAATGGGCCACACCCTCCCGGCACCCGACGATGCATAAGTGGGTTTTGGGTTGCAGTTTGGACACTCGGTCTCTAAAAGGTTCGCCATCACTGGTATAGCTATTCCTCTTACATTGCTGTGTCTCAAAGGAGCAATTGATAAAACCTCTACTTCTTGTTGAAAATATCTCTCTTCAGTCTTCATTGCATTTTCAATTTGAAATGTGGGGTTTGTTCTCCGGAAATAATCCTTGTAATGCGAGGAATACTATGACTAAATCCACTGCCTGATTTTATGAATATAAAACTGGAACTCTTCTTGCGAATAGATGCTGAACATGCAATGAGGAGAACAGGCTGTAGGAAGGAGGACGAGCTGATCTTACCATACAAAGTGGCAGAGGGAGATATGTGGTTCTCCAAAAATTTACTCGTGAATGAATTTATTTGTGAAATAATATTCATGATTACGAAGTACAGTGGAATTATTTTTAATGATTTTCTACTGGCAGAGCGCTCCTAGCATTCCTAATTCAAAGGCACTGTGCAACTATTCATATCTGTGATATGAAAATATGGAAATAATAATTAGGATTAATCGAAGGCATGAAATTAAAAGGAGAGGGGTTGGTAATACAACAGTATGTCCAGCCCACTATGTCTAGCAAGGAGAGCATGCTCCAAGCACCTTCCATCAAACAATGCCATCTTGTTGTACCCTGGAGTTGAGCCTTCTCTGTGGCTGCACCTGCCTCTGGAACAGCCACCATCCAGTGATCCAGATGGCCCCAACTTTGGTAAGGCTTTTGGTAAGGCTTTGGTAAGACCAGGCTGTTTCCCCAGGAATTTGGGCCAGAAGGTAAAATAAACTCTGTTGATGCAGCTTTTTGGTTTAGGTCTTTTTGTTTTGAGCCAGCTATCATGGATTATACACTATGGTGGATTTAATTTTTGTTCACTGCCCAGAATCACCGTTATGAAACAGGTGGCTCCAAAACTCATATAAATAAGTGAATGACATGTTGGGAATTATCTGATGCCTTTTAACTACTTGTATTATAAATAAGCACCATTTAATAAAGTTATAAACCTAACATTATACTTTAATAACTATGACAATGTTTAAGATAAGTAGTGTTGATATAGAACAGTGATGGCGAACCTTTTAGAGACCCAGTGCCCAAACTGCAACCCAAAACCCAGTTATTTATCACCGGATGCCGGGTGGGTGTGGCTGCGGTGGTCATGGCACTGGGTGGGCGGGGCCAGGGCAGCGGGGGCCAGTCCCTTGCCATCTCCGGGGCATGGCACATGTGCCCACAGAGAGAGCTCTGAGTGCCGCCTCTGGCACGCGTGCCATAGGTTCACCACCACTGATATAGAAGTACTGGGCAAATGTTATACATAAAGAGCCAGAATCACTTAGGAACCGTACGTACATTTTGTTTGTAATACAGAATCTCTGTAATTCCAGGGATGCCGTCTCAGAGTGCACTTGATCCTTCACCCCAGCTACTTGAGAAATCCAAACTCTCAGTGCAACAAAACCCAGAGGAGATGAGGCCAGAACACAGTCTATGTCATGTAGAGGTAGAAATTGAGATGACTCCACCAAAGCTTGAAAACTGTGAAACTGGAATAATCCGCAGAACCGTGAAGTATTCAGAGACTGATCTGGACTCTGTCCCCTTGAGATGCTACCATGAGACAAACATTGATGATATTTTGGCTGAGAAGGAAGAAGTGGATTCAGCCATTGAGAGCCAGAAGGACAGCGAGAGCAATTTTAGTTCCACGGGAATTCCAAGGAAATTAAACACGGTTCCAAATGACCTCTTCTTTCAGCACGCCATGGAAGAGGATAGCAAACCTTTAGACAACAAGAACCAGGGAAATAAATACGGTGAAATATCTGGAGCCATGGTACATCACCAGGAGAGGTGAGGATTTCTCCAAGGGTGGCAATAGAGTGACAGCAGTGCCTATTGTTTGGCAGTTAGTTTGATCTCCGAGCCTGGCGATTTGGCTGCAAACATTTCATCTCCATTCAGGGGAGGGGGCATCTTCAGTCCCAAATGGAGCATAAAGAGAAATGCCAGGTATTCCATCTTGGGTATGGGACTTGTAATCAGTGAATGGGCAATGGTGTGATGATTAGAAAGCAATTATTGAAAGGATGGCAGCCTACCGAACTATGATAATGAAAGTCTTATTTTATTGTAACTATAGTTACATCCTGGTTTTGTTTTACTTTGTTTTTACACTAAATTAAGAGCAAGCTAAAACTTACTGTGGTCGTAATACTCTGAAAATCTAACCATCCCCTCTGCCTTTCTCAACTGAGCTTCCACAAGAGGTTACAGGAGGCTCTATGAGAGATCGTGATTGGAAAACAAATAAACATTGCTGTTTGAATTTAATGTGCTGCACAAGAGTAGAATTCTCAGGGACAGGAATTTTTATGCACAGCAATTCAGCTACTGACCTGCCACTTTGCTGTAAAACATGTGTGCTGCAGATTAAGCAAACTATATTGTGAGGTTTTCTAAATGTTTTGCAATTTTTATGCAGGAGTTCGTTGAGACCTGAAAATAAGGTTGAGAAAAACTAATATAACTTGTCTTTCTTTTCTCTTTACCACCACATATCATCACCAGGGTCAGCAACAGAAATTCTCAATTAATCAAGTCTCCTGTGCCCTACTTCTTTGGGCAAAACATTTCCAAGGATAATATGGATTCATTCAGCAAGCATTTTGAGAGCATCATGGAATCACATCGAGCCAAAGGAACCTCTTATACCAGCCTAGATTCTATAGATATCCTGTCTTCTCCCACTCATACACAAAATGGAACTGTCTTCACCTTTGATCTTCCGACTCTTACCCCAGAAATTCACGAGGACTTTCAAGACAGCACTAAACTCATCGAGCAGAATTTTGCCCCTCTAGCTTTTCTGGAGCCAGATTCTGGAACCAGTTCTGCCACAGATGTTCCTTGGGCTGAACGGGAAGAGGAAGCAAAACAAAAATGGGAAAGTAGCTTGCAGAGTCCCTGCCATTCAGAGGGCAGTTTAGGAATTCCTCTGACCTCCATCATAAGGTGAGTGAGTAACATTAATTCCAGGTAGTGCATGTAGTGAAATGTAAAATATCTTGTGATTGTTTGGCTGATCATCTCTTTCTTTTGGATATGTGTTGTTGGACAGAAATCGCTTGAAAATGTGGACTTACTGGCATTTTTTTCCAGTGTTAACTGGTCTAATGAGAAAGATGATGTGGCAATCAATAGAATAGAATAGAATAGAATAGAATAGAATAGTAGAGTAGAGTAGAGTAGAGTAGAGTAGAGTAGAGTAGAGTAGAGTAGAGTAGAGTAGAGTAGAATAGAATAGAATAGAATAGAATAGAATAGAATAGAATAGAATAGAATAGAGCTGGAAGAGACCATGGAGGTCTTCTAGTCCAGCCCCCTGCTCAAGCAGGAGGTCCTATATCATCTCAGTCAGATGATTGTCCAGTCTCTTTTTAAAAACTTCCAGCGATGGAGCGCCCACGATTTCTGGGGGTAAGCTGTTCCATACTATTTCATGTTATTTCTACAATCAGAATGGGCATGCTCCATATCCCATACATTAAGCAATGCCATAGGACAGGCATGTCAAACTCGCGACATCACGTGACGTCACGCAACATATCAGAGCTTTTTCCCCATTGCCGGCAATGGGGTGGGCACGGTTTCCTGGTGACGCATCCAGCCTGCGGGCCGGCAGTTTAACACCCCTGCCATAGGACGTCTGCCTTTCCTATCACAGCAGCTGGAACAGTATGTGGAAAAACAGTGGAAAAGAAAAACAGCCAACAGTATGCAATATGTCATGAAAAGCTTTGTAGGTGTCAATCAGTATCTTTTTTTTTTTAAGCAAATTTTATTGGTTTTTTAATTTCTTAAAACATAGTATTCAGGACACACCATGGTGCCGGGGTAATCAAACATCCTAAAACAAAACATATATATACATAGTACAATCAATACATCAAGTATTCCCTCTCTTTTTCCCTCAAATAGCATAGTGTATTTAAAATATCCAATTCTAGCTTAAATTTATTCAACCTGAACCTGTCTTAAAGCTTTATAAATTTACCATACTGTAATCAAATTAACTTTAAATAAAGACATTTTCAATTCAAATATCCCTTCCAAGTATGTTCTACTTTCTTAATTTTATATGCCGACTATATTTCAAGTCGTCATGGCGGGGTATTGGGAAAAGTTTTCAATTAGCAATAATCGCGCCTCGGATAAACCTCATTGGCTACGATACTGCCACTGCGCAAAGCTTAAATCAGTATCTTGAATTGCACGCAGAAGCTCACCCTGAGTACTAATACAACTCAGGCAGCAGATGTATTATGCATATACAGTACCTATACTGAGATAAACCCATATTTGCTGACGTGACTGCATTCCGGATTAGCTGTAACTTCTGAGACACTTGGACTACTGATAGAATGTTCAGTAAAGGATATCATATTATATCACAAAAATATGTCTTAGGATAAAATTGAGTATTGCCTATCTTAAGTGCCCACACAGTTGAGGCTGCCTCAAGGTTGCCACAGGCGTAGGCTGTGAACTAGATAACAAACTAGAGTGGGGTTTGCTCTCACTTTACTAGTGGCTTGCTTCACAGTGATTGGTAAAATCAGTAAGGCAAGACAATATTAACAGGTGATAACTCTATTAAAAATTCATTCTATAATATCTTCTCAAATTTGTACAAGAAAAAGGACATGGACTTACAAAAAAAATAGATGAATATCTTTTAAAACAACAAGTAACTATCTAAAGCTTTCACAGGTGCAAAAGCAACTTATGAATGATCCTATAACTATTTTTGAAATATCAGAGGTCCCAGGCCCAGATGGACTTTCAAATCAATATTATAAATGTTTTGAAGACCAGCTGCTACAACCATTGAAAGAGGTAATGAATTCTATATTACAGGGATCTGAATGCCTCAGTCATGCAGGGAAGCTAATATTGCCCTGCTTCCAAAGGAAGGTCAAGATGCTACATCGATAGATTTCTTTATTAAATAATGATTATAAACTTTTTATAAACTGGGGGAGAGATTAAAGATTTATCAGAACTTTATACATGAGGACCAATCTACTGAAAAGGTAATGTAAGAATGGTCGTCAATGTTACTGAATATTTGCAATATTATAATGAAACCTAGGCAGCCTTAATATTCTTAGAGGTGGGAAAACGTTTTGGACAATCTAAATTGGGCTTTGCTCTTTAGACCTTTAGAGGAAATGGATTTTGGAAAGCAATTTATTCAAGGTATTACTTCAATTTACACATCCCAACGTGTGCATATTATTGTTTATGGCAAATTGACTAAAATATGTGAGATTCAAAAAATTACAAAACGAGGTTGCCCTGGTCACCACTGCTTTTTTACAATAGAAAAAGATTTTTTTTTTATTTAAGATTAGAATTTTCACACCAGTTATTTTGTCATCTCATCTGATATCTCTATTTAAAACCACTAAGACTAGAGGTTGCAAACAGAGACATCAGAGGAGATAACAAAATAACTGGTGTGAAAATACTAATCTTAAATAAAAATAATCTTTTCTATTCTAAAGAAGAAATCAATAAAGAGACTTGTAAGTTAAGAGCCTTTCCTTAGTTATATCTCTGCAAGCTCCCCCAAATAGTTTGGTGTATTTGATGAAGAAGTTGAATGATTTTGGAGCTTTAGTTGCTTTTAAAATAAACAGTATACAAAGATGTTAGTGAAGTATATGGCTGCATTTGAGCATGAAATCTTAACAAAAAAAATCAGGTATTAAGGTGGAAAGGAAGATTAAATATCTTGGAGTGATATGGTCAAGTACAAAAACTAAATTGTTTCAAAAAAACTACATACCTATTTGGACTGATATTAAGAAAGATTTAATAAGGTGGGATACATTGCAACTATATCTGATGGGCAGGATCTTTGTGATCAAGATGAATATCCTACCAAAGATGCTATTTTTATTTCAATCAAATAACTTATGGGGGTCATCAACCAGCAGAAAGAAAGAAGAAAAATAGTCTTCAAATATCCAGAACATCCAGAAATAAACAAGGAGTGATACACAGAAAGTTAAAATTCTTATGAATTAAAACTAACCTAAAATATAGAATTATAGACCCCCTAACAGATATCTGAGGAAGATAGCTGACATTTATAAAATGACCAGTGGATAATGGTGAGGAAAAGGCATTCCCTACTCAAACAAGCTCAATTGGTGTTAATTATACTTTGTCTAATTATGTCAGACACAGAACCTGACAATCTTATATACTATTTCAGGATTAATGTCAGAAAGAAAGAATTGATTATAATGCTGGTCATTATATCCGGTTTTACTAGCCCAGAGTGGGGCAATTAGAGTGTATTTTTTATTTCAGACCTTGCCAGTATTGATGACTGAGGTTCCATTCAAGCAATGGCTAGGGTATATTTCTAAATTTATTTGGCAAGGATTAAGTATAAATTATTGCAAGGTGCCATAGCAAGAGATGGTTTGGGTCTCCCAGATTTAATATTGTATTTTGAGGCATATTGCTTGAAGGAATGGGTGACCTTAAAGAATATTGTATTTGGAAGGCCATGAACTCAGATTTGTATGGCATGCCTATCTATGGTTTGATCAAGGTGTGCGGATTTCAAAAATCACTTTGTAAGGGGTGCCATTTACAGAGTTTGGTATAAATAAAAAGAATTTATTATAAATAAAAGGAATGTCACCCCAGGAACCCTTTTTTAAAGAAAGGAAATAACAGTGAGCCCTAATTGGGATATTTATAGTGAAATAATATCCTTTTTTCAAGGACAACCACTCTCAAATCAAATGAAACTTGGAGTTAGAAGGTCATATACTGCTTTATCTATCTATAATTGAAAGAATGGTGGTTTTGAAGCTACTAAAAATGGTGTCCTAATGATGAACATCTTATAACTAAATGATGAACATCTTATAAACAAAGTTTATCAAATATTTTATATTATAAAATATAATTATATCAGACTATTCAACCTCCTTTACATGGACGATCTGAAGCTGTATAGAAAAAACATCATCTGATATAGAATCTCTGCTCAACGCTCTGCAGCCATGATACTGCAATGGAGTTTGGACTGGATAAATGTGCCGTACTCACCATTACATATGGAAAAATAGTGAAAACTGAAGGAATCAAGATGGCCTACAGAAATAATATCAAGAGTCTAGATGAAGATGATCAATACAAATACAAATACTGGGTATCCTTCAGGCTGACAACATCAAGCACACTGAAGTCAAGAAAAAGGTTAGAAGCGAATACATAAAGGGAATGAAGAATATCTTAAACCAAACTCAATCAAGATAATACCATCAAGGCAATTAACACCTGGGCAATTCCAGTCATTAGATACACAGTTGGAATAGGTGAACTGGACTCAGCAGAACTAAACGCCCTAGCTAGGCAGACTAGAAAAATCATGACAATGAATCATGCCCTTCATCCTTGCAGTGACATTGACTGTACTTACCAAGAAAAGGGGGTGGGCATGGAATATTGCAAGTACATCAGACAATTGAAGAAGAAAAAAGGGCATTGGAAAAATATCTGAAGGCCAGTGAAGAAGATGCACTGAAACTAGTAGACCAGGAAGGCCTGCTGAGTACTGGAGAAACCAAACTGGCCTACAAGAAAGACCAAATAAGGAACAGAAAAGAGGCATAGGAAGACAAAGCATTACATCACCAGTACATGCCCCCCCAAAATAGCAGAAAAAACAGACAATAACAAGACCTGGCAATGGTAAGAGCAGGAAAGTTGAAGAAAAAAATAGAGAGGCTCATTTTGGCTGCACAAAATCAAGCCTTAAGAACAAATGCATACAATGCCAGAATTGAGAAGACAGCAATAGATAGCAAGTGCCACCTCTGGAAGGAAGCTGAAGAAACATTTGGTTAGCTGCTGCAAGGAGATTGCACAGACTGATTACAACAGCATGACAAAGTAGCAACAATGGTGCATTGGAAGACCTAAAGAAATACTATTTGCCTGCAGGCAAGAAGTGGTGGAACATAAAATAGAGAAAGTCATAGAAAATGAAGAAGCTAAAGCGCTCTGGGACTTTAGAAATCCATCCTAGAAAAGTGGTAGCGGGGGAGGGGAATGAGCTGAACCAGTGGCAGCACCGCACAAGCCTGAGCGAGAAATGACTGGAGCTGCAGGGCTGTCAGGGCTCAGTGGAAGCGCCAGGATCAGCGCCAGGCTCCAGCTGGAGCTCGGCGCTGATCCTGGTGCTTCTGCTGAGCCCAGAAGAAGCGCCGATCAGCTGGAAAGCAGCACTGATCCTGGTGCTTCTGCTGAGCCCAGAAGAAGCGCCGATCAGCTGGAATGTTGCAGCATCTCCTGGATCTTGTGATTTACATTCAGATACTTGGCAACCGATTCATCTTTATGACGATCACAGTGTCCCAGGGTCATGTGAAGTGAACAAAACCTGCTGCAACCACCCAGCAGATGGGGGGGTAAATAAAAACCAAACACCCACCCCTCCCCCGCTGCCAATCCAAACAGAAATGCCTCACAACAATGAAAACCTCAGAAAGAAGGAAGAGCGCTGCAGGCAACTGTCTTGCTCAGCTGTGCCTTGGGGGGGGGGACTTTTTTCAGTGCTGTTGTAACTTCGAACAGTCACTAAGCGAACTGTTGTAAGTCAAGGACTACCTGTACTTTAACACTTTTTCCTTTTTTGGTCATCAAGTTTTTGACACCTTGCTAGGCGACTGGTGGTACTTGGATATTGCCATATCCTAAAAGTGGTACAATGGGTGAAAAGGTTGAAAAGCCCTGCTCTACAGATCCTCTGTCAATGCTGCTAACATTGGATGTTCTTGCTTTGACAACATATGGAGATGCAGCCTTTTTCTTTCTTATGCTTTACTCTTACAATTAGATGATACTGGGGGAGGAGGAGGAATGTGATGGGAGCTAGTTAGACATAACAATATTGTAATAGTGTGTGAATTCAGGGCTTTTGAAATAAGAGATGATAAGAAATGGTGGGTTGGAGAACAGGAGGGAAAGCCTACATTTCAAACTAATTGGAGAATGTGATTAATGACTGTTAATTAGAGGAGGGAATTGTGTTTGATACTGTGTGCTCAGGGGAGGGGAATCCAGATTTTGGCTTCGACTATGTACTGTACATGCCGATGCTATGCCATTCGAATAAAGATTCTTTAAGGTAAACAATGCCTCAAAGTTCTTTGAAGAGTTTCATCAGTCGGAACCATGACATCCTCACCCAGAAATACCAATAATCCTTCATCCTGTAGAAACAACATTTGTGGAAAATTGGATAAAAAGTGACTGGGTAACAGTTAACATGACAACTTCTGTGTTTTTTGTTCTAGCAAGCATCACCTCAGTCAACTGGTCTCTGACTCGGATTCTGAAATGGACAGCACAGAGCAACTAGCCCTGGGTAGTACGGACACTCTTTCTAGTGGACATAATGCTGATCTAGAGGCCGCGAAGCGCCTTGCGAAAAGGCTGTACAACTTGGATGGTTTCAAAAAGGCCGATGTAGCTCGTCATCTGGGGAAGAAGTAAGTATGTGTGGGTATTAAGAAAAGCCTCTTCATCCAGATTGTATTTTATTCACTCTATAAAGAAATATGGCTGCCTGGTGTGCTTCTTCATAGCTCTCTTCAGAGGAAGCGATTATGACTGCAGTAGGTAAGCCACAGCCTTCATAATGGAAACAATGGAGGAAGCTTTTGTTTCATTTTACAAACATTCTTAGTAATGTTGTTGGTGTGGCCTGTATAGCTTGTGGACACAGGGTAGTTTACCCTCTTTTCTTTTCTAGCTTGGCAGCAATATTCCCAGAAGTGCAAATATACTATGATCGCTACAGTCTAGTTCAGGGGTAGGCAAACTTGGTTCTTTTATGACTCGTGGACTTCAACTCCCAGAATTCCTGAGCCAGCCATGCTGAGGGGAAAGGGAGAGGTTTCCAAGCTGAGCCATGCTGGCTCAGGAATTCTGGGAGTTGAAGTCCATGAGTCATGAAGGGGCCAAAGTTTCCCCCATGCTGGCTCAGGAATTCTGGGAGTTGAAGTCCACGAGTCATGAAGGGGCCAAAGTTTTCCCCATGCTGGCTCAGGAATTCTGGGAGTTGAAGTCCACGAGTCATAAAAGAGCCAAGGTTGCCTACCCCTGGTCTAGTTGGATTAGAACACAGGATGGGGAAGAGTAGTGTAATTGAAAAATAACAAATCTGGGAGCTTTTCCTGTCCCTTAATGTCTGCCATGATCTCTTCTTCAGTTGTTAATCCATCTCATAATCCGTCTCATTCATAAACAAGATGTTTCTTTCATTTCCAGCAATGATTTCAGTAAGACAGTAGCAGGGGAGTACCTCAAGTTCTTTGAATTCACTGGAATGACTCTGGATCAAGCTCTTAGGTAAGTGTCCAAGGAGGGACCTCTGAAGTCTTCAGAAAGATTGAGTTTGATAAAGGTTCAGAGGGAAATTAAAGTAGCTGCAGCAGTCAATTGTTTTCAAGATTAACTTGTATTCACATTTATTTAGTAAGACTTCTCAGATTTTATGTATTTCTTTAGCCATAGTAGCTCATCAGAATTTGCTTCATGTAATTGTGCTGCCTACAGTATGGGCAGTCCTCAACTTACAATGGCAATTGAAACTGGAATTGCCATCACTATGTGATGCAGTTTTAAAGTGCAACTGCGTTGATTAGCAATGGCAATCCTTACAGACCCAGTTGTTGTTGGGCAAGGCAACTTCCAGCCAGCTTCCCACAACCAAAGTTGGTGCTGCATGGGTTGGGGAGGGTATGCAGGGGTACAAGTGGCTGGCGCAACACACACATAAAGCACAAGCACAGCCCCCATTGACTTTGCGTTGAAGCCAATATGGAAGGTTGCAAATTGCGATCACATAACTGTGGGGCATTTGACAACCAGCCAAACACCTAGCTTGTGATCAAGTGACCACGAGAATTCTGTGATGGCTAAACTTCTAAGGACCAGTGGGGGTATGATGTAAGTGGCACACTTGACCTTGCTCATCTTGACGTCTCAGCAGTTTTCAATACTATAAACTATGGTGTTTTTCTGGCCAATTTCAGTGGTTGGGGGTATGCAGCTCCATGTTGCATTGGTCCTCCTCCTTCCTCTGAGTCTGGTGTTGATAGGACAGGGGACGCCCAGTCACCTCATTCTGTGGGGTGCTACAGGACTCCATGCTCTCTCCTCTCCTGTTTAACATTTACATGGAGAAAGGACTTGCAAATATACTCTCTGTTTCAATGTAAAATATGTTCATTTATGTCAGGGGTGTCAAACTTGCAACGTCACGTGACATGTTGCGACGTATCATGACTTTTTTCCCATTGCCGGCAATGGGGTGGGTGCGGCTTTGCTATGATGCATCCAGCCCACGGGCCGGCAGTTTGACACCCCTGATTTATGTGTTCATTTATGTAAACCATTTCCCACATTTTTGTTTAAAAAGGATCTTACAGATCAATTTCAAAAACAAGGTGCAAAGTATGTCATTATTTTATTTACTTTTATTTTCATTCCTTTACAAAAGAAATAGGTACAGTAGTGGCCAAAATTGTGGAAACCTTTTGGGAAAAGTGTACAGTAGAAATGCCACTTTTGGTTAAGTTTCCACCAATTTTTCTTCTAATTTCTTTATAACTGTAGCCTCGCTCACTTAATAATACTATTTTACATCGCTTTCTGGGCGACCAGTCAACTCTTTGCACCATTACTTTAATTTTATTACGTTTTACAAGCTCACTCAATGAAAAGTCACAAAAAAACCCAACCAACTTGATAGCCATCACATAACACACTGACAAATGTCCTCCTTTCAGTTTCAATACATGACATCAATCACTGAATCCTACTGTGATCTGATTGGCTCATTGCCAAAACAAGATGATACCTGATTGGCTCTCTAAACACTCGTGCTCATTGGCTACAATCGGATGAAGGAAAGCTACCTGATATCAACCTAAGCAAGTTGTACTTTCTTTTTCTGGTTGTTTGGCTATAACGTTTCATAGAATACAGATAATTGAACAAACTTTGTTGCATTACATTCTTGATTAAATTATCTTTTCATTGATATATAATTTTATGGTACTACTCCAAAACAAAGTGGTGTTATTAGCCATCAAACCTCAAATGTACATTTTTCCCAAAAGGTTTCCACAATTTTGGCCACTACTGTAGGATAAATACAGAGCAAGTACTGGGATTCTTTCTCTTTAGTGCTGGATCACATGATTCAGGAGGGAGCAGGGAGCGTCAAATAGAGTAGCAACTTGTTTACTACCTTTCCCATAAATGGGCGGAAGATTTATTTCCCGTTTGTTTGGGGGTTTTTTTCTTTTCTTTTCTTTTCTTTCTTTCTTGGCTGGATCTGGTCAATTTTCATACTACTGTAAATCTTTCCTTGCCAGCATCTCCTTACCACACACCAAATTTGACTCTGTTTTCAGAGTGTGGTTCTGCCCACTGTCTACTTTTTACATAATTTCTTTCTAACATTCCATCGGGCTGGGGGAAAAAATAAAAGGGATGGGACAGAAATAAATTCTGAATGCCACAAGATTCTTACAACAACCAGCAGGGTTGGGAAAAGTTCGGGAACAATTTGTTGTTATTCCAGAATCAGATTTTACGATGAATATCCTGATCCTAGATCCATAGGTGGCACGCAGAGCCCTCTCTGTGGGCACGCACATCGTCACCCCAGTCCTAGGCCTTCAGCTCAGTTTTATAAAACCTTTTCGCTTTAGGCCTCTGCCGCTGTGTGCAAAAAAAAAAAAGGTTCAATCAATCACTCAATTTCAACTTCTCACGGGGAAAAAAAAAGATCTCGCAAATGATTGATTGAACTTTTTAGTCCCACCCAATCTGCCGTTACCACTGCAGCCACGCCCACCTAATGGGCCATGCCCACCCAATGGGCCAAGCCCACCCGGCACCTGACGATACATAAGTGGGTTTTGGGTTGCAGTTTGGGCACTCGGTCTCTAAAAGGTTTGCCATCGCTGTCCTAGACCTTTGTGTCTCTGCTTCAGTGATTCTCTGCTACATTCCTGGCATGGTGAGATTGCACGGCTTGTTGGTGGCCTGTGCTAGAGTGTTTTGTAATTGCAACCTTTGGCTAGGAGCTGTTGCTATGGCATTGACAGAACTGCTGGGCGACTAAGATGGGAAAGCTTCACTGTTCCAGAATGAAAGCGCAAAGTCCTAGAGCGGTGGCTATTACACTTGAGAAATAGCCATGTCTTTCTTTTCTCTTCAGATCTTTTCTGAAGGAGCTGGCCCTCATGGGAGAAACTCAAGAACGGGAGCGGATCCTGGCGCATTTTTCCCAACGATATTATGCGTGCAACCCCAAAGCCATCCCTTCTGAAGGTGAGATAAAATAAATTTAAAACATAAGATAAGAGTAGAAAAGACCTTTTCAGCTTATTTGTCAGACCCTCTACTTTACATGGTTGCTTTTTATTAATTGCTTTTGTCGTGGAAAAAACCAATGAAAAAGATAAGAGACAGCAACACAAAACAATGATTCTTACTTTAAGATTCAGAGGTTTATTTTGCTAATAACGTGGAACTTAGCAAACATAATAACACAACATCCCTTACATTACTAACCCATTGCAATGAGGTCCAGCAAGGACAGCTATAGGCCAATGGCAAATCAATCAGGTCCAGTCCCAACTCTTTATACCCTTTCCCGTCCTAAGACTGTAGACCAAGGGTCTTCAAACTTGGCCCTTTTATGACTTGTGGACTTTAACTCCCAGAATTCCTCAGCCAGGCATGCCTGAAGCATGCCTGGCTGAGGTATTCTGGGAGTTGAAGTCCACAAGTCATAAAAAGGCCAAGTTTGAAGATCCCTGCTGTAGACAGATGGTCAGCAATCTTATACTTTCTGCTGATGTTTTGCTGATCCTTTGCTGAACATAACTTTCCACATACCCGTGTACATTGGAACCCGAATCCATCAGCTACTTTCAGTTCTCTATTTCCTTATGTTCTAAATATATTTGAAACAAGCAAGCTTAGCAAAATCATATTAAGTAAAGTACAATTGCAAACTGCAAAATTAAGCATAGCACAGACTTTGGTTCAATACTTTTTCCATGAGGCCTGATTTAATTCACCTGGGCCTAAACCTTGCATAAAAGAACAATATCTAATATTTTCATCTTCCACACTTCATTTGTGTGCTCATTTTTTGGGGCCTGCCATTCTGGTGGGAGGGGGGGCTGGTTGCCGGGAAATGTATTTGTTTTGCTCTGCTCTGTCCTCTGGGAAGATGCCTCCCTCCCTGAGAAAGGAATGTGGCCTGAAGATATCTGCCTTATCTCCAGACAACGGAGCCTGGGACCGTTGGGAAACAAAACTGAGAGAGACCTTGAGATGGACACTAAATCACCAGGTTCTCAAAACAACATAGTACCTATGGATTGACTGGATTTCAACCAGACAATTGGACACTGGAGGGAGGAGTTTTGCTTGGGCATTATGATGAAATCTTTCACACACAAATTGTTCAGACCTTGCTTTGCTCTACTACTATCACTAACTCTCAATAAAAGTTCCTTTTGAAACAATGCCTGTTTCAAGAGTTCTACTTTCTTGGGAGATCTAGTTGAGGCAGATCCTTACATAAAGCAAGGTCTACAATAATGCTCAACCCAGAGAGGCAGCTGCCTTACCATGGGAGGCCATGCACGAGATGTCTCTGCAAGGCAGCGAAATGGGAGAAGCCGGGACCGAAGATTGGAGTAAGTGTGACACAGGCCTGTCACAAGGAGTTAGCTGGAGGAAGCCACTGCCTTAGAAGATTCCACAAAACCGAGATGGGCGCTCAGTGTCGGGAAGAACGAAAACTGGGACGAAAGAACCCAAAGGGTGACTCTCACCTGAGGAGGGCAGAAAAAGGCTTGGAAGAAAAAGGTGGAGCTGACATCCAATGAGGAAGAGATGGACAAGCAGCTGGATCAGATGGAGGGGATCCTGAAGCAAGCCATGCAGTACATGTTGGAAGCTTTCAAGGACCTAAAAGCTAAATCCCTGAGGTGTCCAGAGAAAGGAAGAACTAGCTGAGGAAGCTGGGTGTGGAGATGGAGAAACCACAATCACTGAGAGCACACGGGGAACAATGGGCTCCTACAGCCAGTAGTGAGCCCTTCAGCACCCTGGAGAGAGATCTCTATGGATTTTATTGTGGAGTTACCCAAAAGAGCAGGAAACACTGTCATTTGGATGGTTACCTACTTATTTTCAAAACAGGCCCATTTCATCCCATGTCAGAAGATTCCAACTGCTAAGACTTTCGCCAAAATATTTGTGCAGCATATTTATCAGTTGCATGGAGCCCTACAGCGTATCATCTCAGATAAGTGTGTCCAATTTACTTCTAAATTCTGGAGAGCCTTTTTGGACCTTTTAGGTTCTGATCAAGAACTATCATCTAGTCATCATCCTCAAACAAATGGGGGGACAAAATGAATGAACTCTGTTCTAGAACAGTACCTTTGCTGCTCTATTAATTATCAACATGATAATTGGACTGATCTGCTACCGTTTGCTGAAGTGGCCTATAACAATGCAGTGCACTCCAGCACTGGTTTTACTCCCTTTCATGTAGCTAATAGACAGACTTTCAACCCTATGCCTGAATTGCCTGCTAACGAATCTGCCGTCCCCTCTCTTAAGGACTGGGTATATCAGTTACAGAACATTTGGCCTGTTGTCTGGAAAGCTCCAGATGAAGCTGGGACAGCATATAAGGCTAAGGCAGATAAAAAACGAATGGAACCAAAACCTTTTCATGTGGGAGACAAAGTTTACCTTTCCACCAGGTTTTTATAATCATTGCAGCCCTCTAAAAAGCTAGGGCTGAAATACATCAGGGCTTTTCCCATTAAGCGTATAATAAATCCAGTCACAGTACAACTGGAACTCTCTAAGAGTTTGTGACAAACCCACCCAGTTTTTCACTGCAGTTTGCTGAAATCCTCTAGCAAGCATTACGGTTCTACTCAGTATTTGGTTGCCTGGAAAGATCTTCCTGCCTCGCAGAATGAGTGGGTTTATAAGAAACACATTAGGCCCCTAGATTGCTCAAGTGTTTTCATGCACGCTATCCTGATAAATCTGATTGATGTGGTAATTTTCCTCTTTTCCCCCTCCCTCTTTTCTTTTTACAAGTGGATTTGTTCTATTAGGGGCACCATATGTCAGACCGCTCTACTTTACATGGTTGCTTTTTATTATTGCTTTGCTTGTGTACTCATTTTTTGGGGTCTGCCATTCTGGTGGGAGAGGGGCTGGTTGCTGGGGAATGTATTTCTCTTGCTCTGCTCTATCCTCTGGGAAGATGCCTCCCTCCCTGAGAAAGGAATGTGATCTGAAGACATCTGCATTATCTCCAGACAACGGAGCCTGGGACCATTGGGAAATGAAATTGAGAGAGTCCTTGAGATGGGCGCTAAATCACCAGGTTCTCAAAACCACATAGTACCTATGGATTGGCTGGATTTCAACTGCATGGATGGACACTAGAGGGAGTAGTTTTGCCTGGGCATTATGATGTAACCTTTCACATGTGAATTCTTCAGACCTTGCTTTGCTCTACTGCTATCACTAACTCTCAATAAAAGTTCCTTTTGAAATAATGCCTGTTTCAGGAGCTCTGTTTTCTTGGGAGATCTAGTTGAGGCAGATTCATAGAATAGAATAGAATAGAATAGAATAGAATAGAATAGAATAGAATAGAATAGAATAGAATAGAATAGAATAGGGTAGGGTAGGGTAGGGTAGGGTAGGGTAGGGTAGGGTAGGGTATAGAATACAGCTGGAAGGGATCTTGGAGGTCTTCTAGTCCAGCCCCCCACTCAAGCAGGACAGCCTATACCATCTCAGACAAGTGACTATCCAGTCTCTTCTTAAACACCTGCAGTAATGGAGCACCCATGATTTCTGGGGGCAAGCTGTTCCACTGGTTAATTATCCTTACTGTTAGGAACTTTCTCTTTAATTCCAGGTTGCTCCTCTCTTTGATCAGTTTCCAACCATTGTTTCTTGTCCTGCCAACCTGGAACTAAGGAGAAAGTTCCTAACAGTGAGGACAATTAACCAGTGGAAAAGCTTGCCATCAGAAGTTGAAGGTGCTTCATCACTGGAGGTTTTTAAGAAGAGACTGGACAGTCAGTTGTCTGAAATGGTATAGGGTGTCCTGCTTGAGTAGGGGGTTGGACTGGAAGACCTCCACGGTCCCTTCCAGCTCTATTCTAATTGAAACAAAACACTGGCGGTAACAGATGGAGGGTCTTGGTTTTGCACCATGTATCAAGGCAGTTCCTTCTGCTTGCAGGAAGATACATGATGAAGAGGCTGGATTTTAAACCCTTTTTACCTTTGTTTGCTCTATGCATATTGAAGGCTTGGAGCCTTCCGTTAACTTCAGCTAAACGATTTTAGTATTCAAGCTACAAATATCTTGCTACATTTTGTCTGCTACCTTCAGAAGAGAACACTGGACATTTATAACACTGGACATTTAATATCTGCAAAAGTCACAATATACAAGCAGAATATAAGTGGTGGCAACAGGCACTTTTACAAGAAATCTCTATGTTTGGTCCCATCATTCCAGAACTGGAGTACTTTGAAGGTGAAAATACCCATGCACCTTTTGGTGGAAAATTTGAAAGGCAATTCTAACTCATTAATAATGCTAATGAAAATTATCCTTCCAAGAACCTTTCAAACCGTTTCTTAGGAATTATTTTTGTGAAGTATTTTTTAAAAAAAATCACTTTTCTTCCAAACATTTATTGTAACAACAGGTGCAAGAAGGGTTTAACCTTTTTACTTCCATTTTTCTACACACGCAAGAAGATGTTTTTAAAAAAGATATACTTTTTTTTAATAATAAAAAAGTAAATAAGATTTTTTTTCTCTCCACTGAGGATCACATGTTAGAAGTTAATTAACGATAAGTCCAATAACAATTGCCCAAACTGATTGTTTCTCTTTGGTGCTTGTGCCACAGATGGAGCCCACACACTGGCTTGTGCTTTGATGCTTTTAAATACAGACCTTCATGGACACGTAAGTGCCTCCTGATCTTTTAAGTCACCCCACCTGGTGCATTGAGATGAATGTAGTGAAAAAGAGCAAAGAAAACTGGCTGCTGTATGGATCTATTCTCTCCAGGAGCCAAAAGATAAATGTAAGGCTAGCGAAAATGTTTAAAAATGTTTCAAATAATTGTTGGAAATGTAAACAAAAGCCAGGTACTTATTACCATATCTGGTGGGTATGTCCTAGTGCAGGGGTAGGCAACCTTGGCTCTTTTATGACTCATGGACTTCAGCTCCCAGAATTCCTGAGCCAGTCATGCTGAGGGGAAAGGGAGAGGTTTCCAAGGTGAGCCATGCTGGCTCAGGAATTCTGGGAGTTGAAGTCCATGAGTCATAAAAGAGCCAAGGTTGCCTACCCCTGTCCTAGTGCAAAGAAATGTTGGTCTAAGATTCATATATGGCTGGAAAAGATGACTAAAATACAGATAGAATTTAAGCCAGAATTGTTTTTTGTTAGGAATACTAGGAGCTAACTATGGGAAAGAGAATGAGTATTTAATACTACATATATCGACCGCTGCGAGAATAGCATTTGCCCAGTATTGGAAAAATGAAAATATACCACCTGGTGAGATCATAATTAGGGAAATTCTAGAATGTGCAGAAATGGACAGACTAACCCTAGAGATTAAAGAGAAAGAAGACTCAGTTTATTTTAAAACATGGGAAATTTTTTACCAATGGTTAGCAAAACGAGTTAGCGAGAAATGATTGTGAAATTTATTAAGATGATCGATGTTTATTGATTAATCAATATGCTCTATAATTATCGCTATTTTTGTTGACTACAGCTACTTATTATTATATTAACTACTAGCTGTACCCGGCCACGCGTTGCTGGTTAAATGGAAAAGAAAGAAAAGAGAAAGCGCACGTTTGTAATATGTTTAATTTCACAATGCTAGCGTGTGTTGCTTTTACGTCCAACAGATGGCGGTTTTTCAAAAACATGTTTTTACCTGTCACAGGTGTGACATCTATATAATAGTAGGTATAAGGTATATAAAAACACACGCATATTCGAATGCAACGTTGTATCAAAATTTCAAAGCAATCGGTGAAGAACTTTTGGAGATTTAAGATTTTGAACAAACGAACATTTACATTTTTATTTATATAGATTCTCACTGAATATCCAGATGATAGTTTGCTTGCTAAAGCTTGGAATGTTTTTGGGGGCAACCCCATTGTTGTACCTACCCCCATCCAAACCCCACCCTGAACCCCACTACCTAGATCGATCGTGTTCTTCCCCTACCTTTATAAAACTTAATAAAATATTGTCCAAAAAACCCCCAATAAATGACATGGAGACACAGGATCGCAGGGCTGGGTGGGTGGGTGATTCTCCAGGAGACCATTTCAAGCCTTGCAGGTTGCCAGCTCCTTCTGGCTTCTCCTGCAGTCAGAATATTCACATGGAGGAGGACTCGTTTCTATTTTCTTTTGAAAAACACTATTTTCCTACCAGATTTCTACTTCTGCAGCAAAATGGTCTCTATTGTGAGGCACATAACGATCAGTAAAAAAAACTACTTGGTGCTGGGTTGTGGGGGAGGGTTGACTATATTATAGGAAAGATTGGCAAGCCTATGCTGGGGAAAATCTTAAGTATAAAAAATGAAGAATTTCTTCTAAAATGATGGACGAGCACCATTTTGTTTCATTTTGCCATGTGCCTTTTTAGCCTTCTTCCATATTGAATAGGCTTTTTGAACTTTCTGGACTATAAGATCTCCAAGCTCCCTTCCAGCGCCATTATTCTGTTATAAAAAGAGCCAAGGTGGTACAGTGGTTAGAATGCGGTACTGCAGGCTACTTCTACTGACTCTGCCAGCAGTTCAGCAGTTCGATTCTCACCGGCTCAAGGTTGACTCAGCCTTCCATCCTTCCGAGGTCGGTAAACTGAGGACCCAGATTGTTGGGGGCAATATGCTGACTCCGTAAACCGCTGAGAGAGCGCTGTAAAGCACCGTGAAGTGGTACATAAGTCTAAGTGCTATTGCTATATGTGCTTAAATAAGAATAGCGGAATATTGTTCTATTGCTGAGTAAGCTTTGCTTCACCCTTTGTTCTTGTAGTAACACTTGTAAACTGCATTCACATAAAATTTTAACCTGGATTCACCCATTTCCTGGGGTTCACATTTTGCACTGACCAGATTGGGTTTGTACAATAGCCTAACCATTAAGTTAGTCAAGCTTAACACTAACCAATCTGCTAAAGTTCATATGTACATATTAATTTTCCTTCTTAAGTATGTTTTATGAACACCAAGAGTTTCTGCATCAAACATAAGCTCTAATGCCACAAATAAACCTTCCAAAATTCATTCTTAGTGACCTATTTTAATTTTTGAATTTTGTAGGGGTATTAAAACATTTCCTTCGTTCAGATCTAAATTGCTGTTAGAGAAAGGAGTTCCACCAAGCTATCATTAATTATCCTTGATAAAGTTTTATACTTATATTTGTTTTTTCTTAAAAAAAAAAAGGCACACCACCCACTACCATGTTTTGTGACATATTTTTTTTCCAGAATACGTAATTGAAATAGTCTTGCTAAACTTATGAGCTAGTCATTTTTCCTTCTTTCCTCTCTTCCTTCTTATAGAACATTGGGAAACGAATGTCTTGCTCAGATTTCATTGGGAATCTGGAAGGTCTCAATCAAGGTAGCGATTTCCCCAGAGAACTACTCAAGGTAAATCCAACTAGTACTCTTCCTGTCACTTTTACTAAGCTAGTTCCCAAGATCTGGCAAGTCCAAGAGGGTTTTTTTTTTTATTCCAGAGAGTTTATCCATTTTGGATTACAACATTTTCAAGAAGAAACCTACCTGCAACTACAGTATTTATGGTAGCTCCCTGTTTCCTTTTAGCAAAGATCCTACTATGTGTGGGTCTGGTGTGTGCATGTGCATTGAGAAATGTTATGTATGTACATATATTCTGTACATATGTATTTTGCTGTGGATGAGAGATTTGGAGTGAATCTGGGTGTGCGGGAGATACAATGTTCTTCCATAGATGTGTAGGAATATTTGTACAGGGAGATCGTATGTATATTCAAATCTGATATACTTTGGAAAACTGCTTTGGTACCTCATGTTTCGGAGGAAAAACTGCCTACCTCCAAAGGAATGGCATAAGGCAGATTCACACTTCTGTACCTTAAGGACACCACTTATTCCCCTTGAAGCTTGCAGGAGATAAAATGTTCTAAATTTCAGGGCGGTTATAAAAACTCAAAGATATTTTTGTGTATTTATTACTTTTTTGTTACATGTTAACGCAGGGGTGTCAAACTCAATTTCACTGAGGGCCGCATCAGCATTGCGGTTGCACTTGGGGGGCCAGGTGGGTGTGGCCAGAGTGGGTGCAGCCTACTGGGTGGGCATGGATGGAATGGGTGTGGCCTACTGGGTGGGCGTGGCCAGTTCTACATCATTCGCGTCAAGGGTGTCTGTGGGGGCCTGGGCAGAAGTGGGACAGATCTGAGGGTCTCTGGCAGAAAGGGGTGGGACCGGGGCAAGTGCCAAGGCATGGTCCACCGGGGCAAGTGCCAAGATGGCCACTACAAAATTGTACATTGGCTCCTGGCTGGCCTGGGCCAGGGCCAAGGCAGCGGGGGCCGTTCCCTCACTGTTTCCAGGATGGCTTCGCGGGCCACATGAAACCACTTCGTGGGCCGCATCCGGCCCCCGGGCCTTGCCCCCGGGCCTTTGACATATCTGTGTTAATGGGGGTTTTTTTAAAAAAAAATAACAAAACAAAAGATCAGTTTCCTTGTTAAAGTTCCGTTTGAAAATATATCCATGTCTCTAGAAAGGTCATTATTACTGTGGAATTTCAATAGGGCAACCTTTGTTCAGTAGTTCTCTTGTCTACCTGCACAAGTTAATGATTCTATCCACAAAGGTTAATATTATTTTATGGAGAGCTTTATGGATCTCCCCCAAACATCTAACCAAATACTTATATTTTTAGAGGCTATTCATATTTAAAATCCAGGAGGTTAGAACATTGTCCTGGTTTAAATCGGTATCTTATATTGATTAATGAAAGCTTGTAACCCTGTTTAATTGGTCTTGTTTTTTTAATTTGAACATTTATAAACTATGCATTTTCATTTTGAGTCTCAAGAACTTACAAATATCCATATTAACGAAATCCAAGTGAGTTAGTTAGGTTCCATCAACCTGCAATTTGTCAGAACTCCTCAATGGCTTCTGCCATTATGTTTCTAGTAGGTACATCTATCCCCCTTTCACGTTAATCAATAGGTTTCTCTCTTAGGTACTAGTATTCCCACTGGAGCAACTAAAGTCATTGGTCAATTGAGACTTACCACATCAAAGTGATAGCAACATGCCATTAAAACCATTTTTTTTAAAAAAAAATCTAAAGCGCCTAGAAAAAAAATAAAAAACCCACTCTTGAACTATAAAAACAAGACAATTAGTCTAAACTCCAGTGACAAATTGTTCCATAGTCTAGCCCAGGGGTAGGCAACCTTGGCTCTTTTATGACTCGTGGACTTCAACTCCCAGAATTCCTGAGCCAGCCATGCTGAGGGGAAAGGGAGAGGTTTCCAAGCTGAGCCATGCCGGCTCAGGAATTCTGGGAGTTGAAGTCCACGAGTCATAAAAGAGCCAAGGCTACCTACTCCTGGGCTAGCCAAAGTGGAAAAAGCAGAATTAATTCTTTATATTAGTGAAAAGGTTGAGAAAGTCAATAAGGAAGGTAGTCCCAGGTTCCTAGGTAAAAGAGGATCGATAGAAGAGAATATTTATAGCTCAAGGTTACTTGGTGCTCTCTGCAGCATCAAGTAACCCCGCTATCTTGCTAAGAGAGGATCATTATATAAACTTATCTGAGTTTTTCAATGTTATCAAGTGAACCATCGAGTATCTCTTAAATGGGAAAGATAGGAATAAGAAACGTGGAGCTTAAATGCTGCAGCACAATACATGAAGACTCTGCAGTAGTCATCCTTAACAGTTGTGTCAGACTTCATTCTTGGTTGCAATAAATATTCTAAAGTACCACAGTTGCATCCGAGTTTTTGCCATATCTAGCAGACAGTTGAATTAAGATTTAAGTGTCTTGGCTTTTCGTAGGATATAATTTTCAATCATTAATGAACGCTTATCAAATTCTCAGATGGGATTCTGCAGTTTTCTGTCCTTTTTCGCTAAGAACGTAGAATGTAAAATTAGGAGGCTGGAAGGGATCTCAAAGGTCTTCTAGTCTAACCTCCTGCTCAAGGCAGGAGACCTTATACCATCCTGGTCAAACAATTGTCCAGTCTGTTTTTGAAAACCTCCAGTGATGGAACACCTCCAGAAGGCAAGCTATTACACTGATTGTTCTCGTTGTCAGAAAATGTCTCCTTATTTTTAGATTGGATTTCTTTAACAAGCCTCCAACCATTATTTTTTGTCCCTCTGAGGCTTTGGTGAATAAGTCAGTTTCCTCTGTGACAGTCCTTCAAGAACTGGCAGATAGTTATCCTGTCTGCCGTAATCCTTCTTTTCAACAGGCTAGCTCCCTTAACTGTTCATCATACAATTTAACCTCCAGACCCTTTACCATCTTTTTTGCTTTTCTCTGCACACTTTCTGGAGTCTCGCCTTTTTTATATCATGGTAACCAGAACTGTACACAGTACTTCAAGTGTGGCTTTACTAGTGCAGTATAAAGCAGTATTATCACTTTTTGTACTCTTGATGCTATTCCTGTTTATGCAGCCTAAGACTCCATTGGTTCTTTTGGCCGCTGAAGCACATTGCTGGCTCATACTTAAGTGGTGGTCCACTATGACAGGGCTTTTCAACCTTTTCACCCATTGTACCACTTTTAGGATATGGCAAACATCCGAGTACCACCAGTCGCCTAGCAAGGTGTCAAAAACTTGATGACCAAAAAAAAAGGAAAAAAGTGATAAAGTACAGGTAGTCGTCAACTTACAACAGTTCGCTTAGTGACTGTTCGAAGTTACAATGGCACTGAAAAAAGTGCCCCCCAAGCCACAGCCGAGCAAGACACCTGCCTGCCCGCCTGGTGGCACTCTTCCTCCTGTCCAAGGTTTTCATTGTTGTGAGGCATTTCTGTTGAGGATTGGCAGTGGGGGTGGGGTGGGGGTGTTTGGTTTTTATTTCCCCTGTCTGCTGGGTGGTTGCAGCAGGTTTTGGTCACTTCACATGACCCTGGGACACTGTGACCGTCATAAATATGAATCAGTTGCCAAGCATCTGAATGTAAATCACAAGACCCTGGAGATGCTGCAACATTCCAGCTGATCGGCGCTTCTTCTGGGCTCAGCAGAAGCGCCAGGATCAGTGCTGCTTTCCAGCTGTAGCCTGGCGCTGATCCTGGCGCTTCCGCTGAGCCCTGACAGCCCCGAAGAAGCGCTGATCCTGGTGCTTCCACTGAGCCCTGACTGCCCTGCAGCTCCAGCCATCTCTCGCGGTGCTCCAACCATCTTGTGCGGTGCTGCCACCGGTTCAGCTCATTCACCTCTCCCACTACCACTTTTCTAGGATGGTTGCGTATCACCTGCCAGGTGCCAATGTACCACAGGTGGTACCCATACCACTGGTTGAAAAGCCCTGCACTATGACACTTAGCTCTCTTTCACATTTGCTACTGTTGAGCCAGGTATCACCTAAATTTGGTTCTTCCTGTCTATGTGCAGGACCTTACTTTTCTTACCACTGAATGCATCTCGTTGGATAGGGTCCAATGCGCAAGTCTTTTATGATCCTTCTGAAACTTGAAATTTATCTTCCACAAGGTTAGCAATTTCCCCCAGCTTGGTGTCATCTGCAAATCTGATGAGCTCCCCTTCTATCCTAGATACTATTATTACGGTTGTGTTGGGAGCACTGAAGAACCTCTAGGTTGGGGGCTCTTTTCATGTCCCCATTAAGTGCCCACGAAAGTGGTACCCATTTATCTACTTGTGGTCACTCACTTTCAAACTGCCAGGTCAGCAAGAGCTGGAGCATGTGACAGAAGTTCATCCACTCCTGCAGCCGCAACCAGGTCTTGAACACGAGCCTGCCGATCATCAGTCCAGCATCCTAACCCAGGGGTAGGCAACCTTGGCTCTTTTATGACTCATGGACTTCAACTCCCAGAATTCCTGAGCCAGCCACGCTGAGGGGAAAGGGAGAGGTTTCCAAGCTGAGCCATGCTGGTTCAGGAATTCTGGGAGTTGAAGACCACGAGTCATAAAAGAGCCAAAGTTGCCTACCCCTGTCCTAACCTCATGAGCCCAGATAGGTCATTTTTGAAGATGTTGAAGAGTACCGAGTCCAAGACAGAACTTTGAGGTACCGCACTGCATTCATCTCTCCATGTAGATGCACTTCCATTAAGGACTACATACTGAGTGCTGTTGGTGAGCCAATTGCAAATCCATGTGGTGGTAGGGCTGTCTATTTCACATTGTTTTAATCTTACAAAGTAGGCTGTGATCTACTTTGTGAAATGTTTTACTGAAGTCCAAGTATAGAATGTCCAAAGTATTTCACTTGTCTACTAATTTAATCATTTTATCAAAGAAGGCTATAAGGTTTGCCTGGCCTGATGTAATCACCTTGTTCATTTCTAGATGCTCACAAATCTTCTGCTTGATTATCTTTTCCTGGATTTTCCCAGGTATTGATGTCAAGCTCATTAGCCTATAAAATGAACA